TCAGCAGCCAGAATCGCTCTCCGTCGTGTGCGAAGGCCGTCACGTGGCCGCAGTCACCGTCAATTGCTTCAAGTGCCACCGCCACAACAGGCGTCCCGCATTCCACACCATACGGCGCGTCGAACTGACCGAACTTCCGCAGGCCCTGAAGTGTCGCCACCAGGCGGGGCGCACCCTCCCCAGGATCCGCAATGAGGACACTGGCCTGACCGCGAGGAACATGCTCCCACACGTCGCGGTTCGCACGGTACACCGCGTCGTCGCAGCCAGTGATGGTGCGTTCCACCAGAATGAAATCAACTCCAGCGAGGGTGAGAAACGTGGTGTGCACGCGCACTCGGTTGTTGTGTGGGAACGCCCTGCAAAACGCCAATCGAATGCACTTCTCCTGTAGCGCGTCACGTGCCCGAGTGGCATAGCCCCTAGCGGCAGAAGCGTCCGCTACATCTCCTGAACAATCCCCGCAGCAAATGCCGCACCCATCAACGTTTTCGTAAGGTCGTGTCGCACCCCTCCTCCCTCGGAAAATCCCGCGGCCACCCTTCTCTCCCGTGGCGCGTGCCATCGTGGTGCGGCCCCCGCCCCATTGCAGCCTAATAGCTCCCTATCTACTGTTGGTCTAAAATACTTGTTGTACAACTGCAAGGGGAACACCAGGCGTTCACGTGCAGTCCAGCAGAAGCCACAGTAAACAAATATACGCGGTGGGCACCACAACAAACAACACGCCCCCACCCACAGGCATCATCTTCACGGACACCACAGTCAGCCACACCACTCCCGTTGCATGTGCGCCCTCTCGTCCCCATCATCCCTTCCTCCCTCCTGCCGGCATTCACAGAAGAATGCTGCGGATGCCGGAGAAGTGTTCCACGTCGGCATCTGTGACGCCAGCCCGCCGCGCCTGCCACCCCGACAAGAAGTGCCGCACAACGACATCCGCGGCGAGGTCCTTTACCTCGGCGCTGTTCATCTCACCCCTGCTGTACTTCGACGTCACCTCCGCGAGGAGATTGTCGTCGGGGCAGAAGAACCGAATGAGTCGGTACGCCACGTCTGCGTGCAGGTTGACACCCTCCGCACGCATGTCCTCCAACGTGCCACCCCCACCAGAGAAGGCCTTGCGCACCTTCTTCCGCACCTCCTGCTCCGTGTCGTGTAGTGTGATGACTCCGTTCCCCTCGGCGCTGCTGCTCATCTTGAACTGCGCTCCCTTCAGTGCGGGGAGGAACTTTGTGTGCAGCAGTGCGGGGGCGCAGCACTTCATACGCGGCGCGACGTTGCGTGCCAGGAGGAAAAAAGCGTCCTGATCAATTGCACAGGGAATGATGCACTTCAGCGGCGGGTCCCAGCTAGCCGTCGCAGCACACGGGGGAAGGCACTGCTAAAACACGGTGCGGCCTGCACCGCTGGAAAGGCTGCCTTTCCAACATTGTCGCTATCCTTCAGGCCAAATGCATTCCTCACAGCGCTCAGCGTCAACATGCGCTGCAACTGCACGACAGTTGGGTACATGTCCCCCATGTACATCGTGTTGCGGAATATAAATGTCTTGCGTGGATCGAAGCCAAAGGCAATGATGTCTTTTATGTTCTCCACCACCAACCCGCCCGCCCTCTCCCCGCTGACAGGAATGTCGCGGAAGAAGTGCTTCTCATCATCGGTTATCTGGATCACCAACGGAAGACCGAGCGCATCCTGCAGGTACCGCGTCAATAAAAACGGCATGACATGGCCAATGTGCATCGACTGCGCGCTCGGTCCACGACCAGTGTACAAGTACGCGCGGTGTGTCCCCGTCGCAAAGGACGCACGCACGCAGTCAATGGCGGCTCCAAAATCCCTGTGGGAGAAGACGATGCCGCGGCGGAAAAAATGGTGCAATGCCATTCGTCCCGCCTCCCCTTGTGCGGTGCTGGTTGCCTGCGCGTGCTCCCCCCTCCGTTGCATGTTTCCTCCAGCCGCTGCAGAAGGGGCTCATCAACGGGCTCCGACCTGAATCGTGTGAGGACGCGGCCATAGTCCACACCCCTCGGGCCCGTGGCGGCAACACCCCACGGCGTCACAACGTCCTCCTTGCGCTCTGTGCGGCTGGCATCATCCCCACGCGTCGTGGCACAACTTCGTCCCCCACAAACCAACGGCGCAGCAAAGCGTGAGATGCGACGCACCACAAAAGGATCCAAACGACTACTTCGCCCGTGCACCGCAGTGCCACATCGGACGGAAAACAAACAGGCAGGAGAAGAGAGGCAGGACTTCGGGACAGCACACACCACCTGATGCAGCACGAAAAAAAAAATGCACGCAGCGGGCTCCAACACCCAAGCGCTCACTTCTGCCGCAGCCAAGCCACACACGCGTAGTCCCTGCACAATCGCTGGTAATTACAAGACAATCAAATAAACACTGGCAGAAAAGAATTAATAGACAAGAACCAATGAAAACAAAAATGAACGACACTGTCGGTGCACCATACAATGACTGGCCGTGGCGCGCAGCAGCCGTGGCCCCGCGCCATCTCCCCCCGTCGGCCAGCACCGCACTCCCGCCACTTCCACGCAGCGATATACACGCAGCAGCCGCTGTGGTGGCGGATCACAGAGTGGCAAAAGAAACGAGAAAGAATTACAAAACAAACACTGTGAAGTTGGTGTAAACTAGAAAAGATAAAATAAAATTATGGACAAAACCCCACACAATCGCTGGTAATTACAAGACAATCAAATAAACACTGGCAGAAAAGAATTAATAGAAAAGCGCCAATGAAAACAAAAATGAACGACACTGTCGGTGCACCATACAATGACTGGCCGTGGCGCGCAGCAGCCGTGGCCCCGCGCCATCTCCCCCCGTCGGCTAGCACCGCACTCCCGCCACTTCCACGCAGCGATATACACGCAGCAGCCGCTGTGGTGGCGGATCACAGAGTGACAAAAGAAACGAGAAAGAATTACAAAACAAACGCTCTGAAGTTGGTGTAAACCAAAAAAGATAAAATAAAATTATGGACAAAACCCCACACAATCGCTGGTAATTACAAGACAATCAAATAAACACTGGCAGAAAAGAAAGACAATAGACAAGAACCAAAGAAAACAAAAATGAACAACACTGTCGGTGCACCATACAATGACTGGCCGTGGCGCGCAGCAGCCGTGGCCCCGCGCCATCTCCCCCCATCGGCCAGCACCGCACACAAATTTCACGTGGCGCATGTCACGGGATAGCGTGATTCACGCTCCCACGTGTAGTTGATGCATGGTCCACGAAGCTTATTGCGTTGGAGTGGGTGTCGACTGCCAGTGGCTGCGGCTGACGGTCAATGGTATCTGGGTTGCCTTCGTTGCTACCAATGATGCGTTCCCACCGCGGCGGTGCGGGTGGTCGGTACGACGACGCGCCGGCGGTGCCTGAAGCGTACGAAGATGATGTCCTGTCGTGGTGCTTCCGCAACTCTTCGTCGCTCTCCTCGTCATCGCGCAGCAGCGCATCCAGCTCGCCACGCTGCGGCTCGCGCAGTTCCTGCCAGTGGCGGTCCTCCACGTACCACACAACGACGCTGTACACAGTGGCCGCAAGCAGCACAGTCGTCAGCAGCAGCACGATAGCCGCGTACGCCCTCGCACCGCCGTCGCTCGGCGCAAGGTGGTTGGCCGCGCTGGTCAGGCACAGCGCCGCAAGGAGCACAAAGCTCGCCGCGTGCATCACCGTCAGGAAGGACGAGCGCATCATGTTCGTGAAGGCAACCACGCCCGCGCCCGCAAGCAGCACGGCAGCCATGCAGAAGTACGGGACGTGGCAGACTCCCACGGGCGGGTGCACAGCAGCAATCAGGCCCACCACACACAGCACCGACAGCTGGAACACGCACCAGTACACGTAGTTGCCCCTCATGTTCGTCAGCATGCCGCCGTACATCCGCTGCTGCGCCGCGGGGTACCAATACCCGACGGGGTACAGCAGGCGCTCGTGCAGCGGCTTCCCCGAAAACTGCCAGTACTTCGCAAAGCTCGCGCCCACGTGGCGGGCAATGAAGTAGCACACGCCAGCAGGGAACGCCACACCGTACAGCACGCCAACGACACCGATCACATAGTGCTGCACGCGGGCACCGGGCATCGCCACTGCAAACACGGAGCCGAAGAATATGCCGAGGTGCATCGCGTGAGCCACGACGTACGTCAGGCTCGGGAAGCGCATCGCCGCCCACGCAGTCGCTGCGTCCACGCCGCGCCACCGCTGGAAGGCCGCCGTCACACCGTAGTGCACGCAGCCGAACACCGCGGCGAGCAGCGCGTTGCCCACAACCATCCACAGCGGATCAAGGGCAGCGAACACCGACAGGAAGTACGGCAGCGCAACGGTGCTCGCACGCTCCTGCGCCGTGGCGCATGACATCCTCGCAAACACGCCGAGCGCCTGCATCTCCAGGACGGAGCCCAGCCCGCCGGTCACCACCACGGCAACAGCCGCCGCACCCGCAACAACGCCGGTGATCGCCGAGAGGGCGTTGGCAACGGCGGGTAGCGTGTCGGACGCGATCGTGAAAGACCCAAGCAGCACACCCTTGCAGCCGCCAAACACCGCCACAGCGTCGCAGCGAATGACTATCGTCTCGTCGGCACCAATGAAGTAACCGCGGTGCACGGGCACAGCCAGCTCCAGGACGGTGAAAGGATTCGTCGCGTTGCGCACCCACGTCGCGTTGCGCAGCATCGCTCCCCACGGACCACCAAAGCCGGTCGGCTGCGCCGTCGACACCGGCACGAAGCTCAGGTGCGTGCCGAGCTGCGGGTCGCTTGCCCAGCGGAACGGCGGCGGCAGCGCCACCATCAGCCGCGTCGGGACGGCGCTCCCACCGCCGCGAATGTCGTTCTGCGTCAGGCTCCCACCAGCCGCCGTCGTCGTCACGGTGAGTGTCGGGCACGCCACGTCGCTCCACCACGGCGTGCTGCTCACCGACAGGCTCATGCTCAGTGAATCCGATGCCGTCACTGTCGCGGTCGGCGGCTCCGTCGCCGTAACCGACGCTGCCGGGGTCGGCGTGGGCAGCAGCGTCACCGTCTCTGTCACCTGCAGCGTCTCCGTCGGTCCGTAGTTCGTTGGACTGTAGCGCGTCGCGCTCATGCCCGGCGTCCACGTTGGCGTCGGTGTCAGCGTCGCCGTCACTGTCGCCGTGTGGCTCAGCAGCGGTTTCTCGGGCGTGCGGTTGCACCCGTCCACGTGCGGCAGGTACACCGGCAGGCAGTCGAGCCCGTACCCGCCCTCAGCACAGCGGCAGCCGCACGACCCCGACATCGCCCTCGTCGCGGCAGCAAAGCAGTGCACGTCGGCGTCGCACACGCTGCACGCCACGGGGCGGAATTTCCCAATGATGCCGGCGGACCTGTAGTCGATCGGCTGCAGCGCCTGCCCGTTGAGCGTCAGGCACCCCACAACGAACTCTCGGCCGGCGCCCCCGAGCGCAACGGTGCCGTCCATCACGACGGGTCCGCTGCCAGCGTTCTTGTGAAGCGTCAGCGTGCTCTGCACAAGCTCCGCACGGCGCGGGTACGACGGCAC